AAGGATGACTTTGTTGAACAAGCGATTCCTGAGTATCGTCCTCATGTCGTTAGGAGACCCTGGGCTGCAGGCGCCAATGTTTGCAATCCAGCTCTGCCTCTGTGACCCTTGAGTAAGGTGTTTATTTCTCAGGGTCTGAGCTTCCTAGTTTGTAAAATGGAATCGGAAATAACTGCTCCTCACTCAGTCAAGCTCATTTCTTTCCCTGCTTCCCCCTCTTAAAGACCACTTCCCTGAGAGCTCTATCCTGTCTCCTAATTCAGCACCAAACCTCAGCCAGGCAGTTGAATGTAGGGGTCACCCTTCTACGGAAGGTGAAAGATTGATTAGTCCTTGGACCAAGTGGAGAGCAGAGAGGTACAAAGGACTGGGACCCTGACTATTGGAGATGGGCAGCTCTTAGGAGGGGGCTGGAGCTGGGGCTCCTTAGAAAAGCTGAGTCTTTGAGGACAGATAGGAGCTAGGTGAAGGGGTGATAGGAAGAGCAAACTAGGCAGAAAGCATATGAAGGTGAGATAAAGCAGGGTTCATGGGCAGTAACACGCTCAGCAATTATTTCTTTCCCCTTCTACTCCAGAATACAGCACCTCTTCTCAGGGATCCAGGTAGGATCTAAACATCAGTCATTTGGATTTTCTCCTTTGTGAAATGCCTGCTTCAGTCCTTTGTCCATTTATTTGGTTACCTCCTGTCACTTTGGTGTAGGGTGGATTTTTAAAATCTTGCTTTTTTACTTTTTGTTACGTGAAATTACATACACACACACACACACACACACACACACACACACACACAGCCCAGTGCACAAAATTTGTGCACTGGTAGGGTCCCTAGCTGCTGCTGGCTGCCGGCTGCCAGCTGGGGCCTTCCTCCCTTCCCCCGGCCAGCCCTGCCCCCTGGTCAAACTCCCAGTCAAGGGGACATTTGCATCTTATGCTTTTATTATATAGTCTACTCATTGTGTGACTTTCTCATTTTTATAATGGTTTTGTTTAACATGATCTTAATTTTAATATCAAATTTATCATTATTTCCCTTTATGGTTAATATTTCTTGTGTAGTATTTAAGAAATCTTCCTTTATCCCAAGGTAGGTATTCTCCTGGATTATGCTAAAAGCTTTACTTTTTACCTATTTCATTTAGAGCTATAATCTGTTTGGAATTGCTTTCTATATATAGTGTGAAGTGGGAATCAAATTTTGTTTTTTCAAAGTTGTCCCAATATCTTCTATTGGAAAAATAATCTTTCCCCACTGTTCTATAGATCCACCTTTGTCATAAACCAAGTGCCCATATATACGAGTCTGCTCTGGCCTTTAGAAGACCCCAGTAGATTTCATCTCCCTATTTTTATTTTATCAAACTCATACATAACATTTAGTGTGTTTGAAGCACATATCTAAACTATATATATTCAATCCTTATAACTAGCTTATGTGATAGGTATAATTGTTCTTCCCCACTTCACAGATGAGAAAACTGAAGCATAGAAGGTTCAGTAATTTGTCCAAAGTAGGAATCAGTATGCAAATACAGGGAGTTTGTCTTAAGTGTAAGTTCTTTACTTACAATTTTTGATGATGCTTTCATACATATTTTAAAATCTGCCCATTGATATTCACCAAAAGAAACCTATGGAAATTTTGAATGGGATTGCATTAAATTGTAGATTAGGTTGAGGCAAATTGACATCTTCAGAATATTGACTTCCAATCTGTATTATCCTTTATTTAGATCCTCTTTCAATAATATCCATAATGATTTATAGTTTTCTATGTATAGTCTTGTATATCTTTTGCTAGATTCCTGGGTATTTAATTTTCATTGTTGTTAAAATATCACAGTAGTTTTGGAAGAGTGGTCCCCTGACTAGGAATATTAGTTAGTATCACTTAGAAACTGATTAGAACTACAATTTCTTGAGCCTCACACTAGACCTACTGAATCAGAAACTCTGGAGATAGAATCCAACAATATGTGATTTAGTAAAATTTTAAAGTTTCAGAGTAATAAAAAATACAATTGATGTATTTATCAGACTTATTAAACATTCTTATTAAGCCTATTTATAGAAATTATTTTAATTTCACATAAATCATCTACAGCTTTATTTCTTCTTTCTATTCCCTTCAACATTTTATTTTTTTAAATATATATTTTATTGATTTTAGAGAGGAAGGGAGAGGGAGAGAGAGATAGAAACATCAATCATGAGAGAGAATCATTGATTGGCTGCCTCTTGCACGCCCCCTACTGGGGATTGAGCCCGCAACCCAGGCATGTGCCCTTGGCTGGAATCGAACCTGGGACCCTTCAGTCTGCAGGCCGACGCTCTAACCATTGAGCAAAACCAGCTAGGGCAACATTTTATTTCTTGTTCTTGCCCTTCTGCATTGGTTAGGAATTCCAATAAAAGGTGAAAGTTTTCAACATTAAGTATGGTGTTTGTCCTAGACTCTGGATCTTTTACCAGATTAAGGAAGTAAACTTCAATTCCCAAGATATATATTGTTTTAAGTATGAAAGGGAGCCTCTGGATTGGTAAACGCATGTATAGACCAGGTGTTGGAGCTCCTGCGCTCAGGACCCATCCGGACCTTGCCCTGTGGACCTCTTCATCAGTATGTTATTTCTAACCTTTATAATAAACTGGTAATGGTAAGTTTTAAAAAATCATGAAAGGATGTTGAATTTTATCAAATCATTTTTCTATATTTTATTAAGATGTTCATAAAGTTTTTCTGATTTGGTGAGTTATATTGATTGACATGCAAATATTAAACCAAGTTTACATTCCTAGAATGAGCAATTTGATTGTAATGTATTATCCTTTTTATATAGTGCTGGGTTTGATTTCCAATATTTCATTTGGGGTTTTTGCATCTATTTTCATCAGCGGGATTGACCCTTAAGTTTTTTTTAAGGTCTGTGTCAGGTTTTGTTATCAAGGTGTTTGTGATGTTATAACACAAGTAAGACTGACATTACTTCTTAAAAGATAGAATTTTGCCAGTGACCTTATGCCTGATGTTTTCTTTGAGATATGGATGTGATTTATTTAATAGCTAAAATAATATTCAGATTTTTGTATCTTGTGTTCATCTTAGAGAGTTCCAATTTTCTAGGAATGTGTCCATTTCATCTACATTTTCAAATTTATCTTTATAATGTTTTGAGTTTAGTGGATTGATAGTGATGTATTTTTCAACCTTGGTATTGGTTAGTGCCTTCTTTATTTTCTGAATTGGTCTCAGTAGAGGTTTTCCAGTTGCATTGATCTTTACAAAGAATCAGCTTTCTGCTTTTTTATCCTGTTGTTTTTAATTCTCCTTTATTTTTATTTCCTTCCTTCTATTTGTATTTATTTTGCTGTTATTCCTCTCCTCCAATTGTATGTTTGCTTAGCTGATCAATAGCAATCTTTATAGTAATAACCTTTATCTGCATCTCATAAGTTTTGATATGAAGTCTTCATTACCATTCAGAACAAAATATTTTCTAATTTCCATTTTGGTTTCTCCATGGCCTACTGCTTATTTAGAAGTATGCTTATTAGTTTCCAGATACTCATGGATTTTCTTATTACCATTTCGTTGATTTCTAGGTTGCATGGCATTCAGAGAACATCTTCTGTATGATTTCAGTTCTTTGAAATTTTGTGGGACTTGTTTTTATGTCTCACACTATGGTCAAGTATTATAAATGTTCAGTGTGCATGTAAAAAACCCATTTTCTTCAATTATTAGATTGTTTTATGTTCATTAGATCAAGTCTGCTAATTGTGTTACTATTTAAGTGTACTTATCTTTACTGAGTTTTTGCCTAGCATTTATGAGAGAGATAAGTTAAAATATCCCACTATGATTTTGGATTTGCCTATTCTAGTTATGTCAATTTTTGTTTTATAGAGTTTGAGGCAATATTACCAGGTACATACAAATTTAAAGATGATTGTTCTCCACCATGTGAGGACACAGTGAGAAGGCAGCTCTCTGCAAGCGAGGAGGCGGGCTCTCACTGGGGAACCAAATCAGTCAGTGTCTTGATCTTGGACTTCTCAATCTCCAAAACTGTGAGAAATGTATGTCTTGTTTCATCCACAGTCTATGGAATTTTGTCATAGCAGCCCAAGATGACTAATGACCACCAATGAAGACATAAATTGGTTCCCAAAAGTGGGATATGGCAAGTTGCCAGTCCTAAAATGGGGAATGTGAGCTGAGGTACATGAGGAGCAGTGAGGACCTCCCCACCCCTCCCCTACACACACACATGCCCAGTTAGGAAATTGTCATCATTGTTCCACAGCAGCAAAGCAAGCAGGTTGAACGGTACCTGTGTATCTCGGGATTTTGACCACATGTTCACAGAGGCTAGCGCTCTAGGACTTGATAAAAAAATATTGGGATGTTGGTGGTGGAGTCTTCTAGTGGGCTTTAGTAAGGTCCTGTAAGAAATACACTCTTTTCTCACAGCTGCCTTGTCTGAAAGTAGAAAGGAGGGGAAATGCAGACTGTGTAAGGCAGGTTTTCCGACTATGGCTCAGAGCCAGTGTTAAAGCCAAATTTGCAGCCCCAAGTCAGTAAGAATGAAGATTGAAAGAAAAACAAAAAAAAATTTAGAGATGATTTATATCCCTGATGAATTGAACTATTTAAAAATTATTTTAAAGTGTTATGTATTTCTGGTAATTCTTTTTTGCCTTAAAGTTTACTTTAACTGATGTTAATATCATTATACCAGCTTTCATTTTTTTAATTATGCTATATTTTTTCAAAAATTTTTCCTGTTCCCTCTGCAATTCTCTGAGTTGTCTTTTATTATCTTGAACATTTTAAACATAGCTCTACATCTAGTGAACTCTCACTCTGTAGCCCCTGTGAGTCTGTTTCTACTGTTGGTTATTTCTGTACGCCCATTCAAGTTGTCCTGTCTCATATGCACAAGTGAGAAATATATGAAGACATCCATTTTTATAAACACAATCAAGCAGCACCAGTTTTATAATGTTTATTATAGTAAAAGGTCCTTTTGTAAAACATTAGTGATTTTGGTCCATATCTTATTTTCCATTTGGCTTTGAAACATTTTTACATTATTTACAAAATAAATTGCAAGTCTTTTTAATTGTATATAATTTTTTTCCCTGACTCTTGGAACATTACAGTTTCAAGTAACTAAAAAAATAAAAACATGGCAGATCAAATGTACTCAGAAGTACATATTGAACATATTTAATTACCACAGTAATGTAAAAGTCCTGATTGTTACTTAAGATTAATGTTCATGAACATGAAGTCATTCAAGAATCTCTGGGATTTCCCTGTTATCCACAATGAGAGTGTGAATAATTCCTTCTCTCCGCTTCCCACTACTGACAGCCTTTATGTAACAGTCGTGGTTCCCAACACTGAAGTGAGTTTCAGTCCCATCATCGACAAACTCACCCTAGGCCAACAGAGAAGGAGAAATTAGTGTTCAGAAACACTTACCTTTGTCTAGAGCACTAACACCATCTAAAAGGGTGGTAAAATGAAGTACATGGTAAATGTTAAGCTTTGCAATATTAGAAACTAGTATTTAGGTGCTTTTACATTCTGCTACGAATTGAAAGTTTCTTGTCTACAATCTAAGAATCTTAAGTTTGGGAGGAAAGTAAAGCCATGCACTCATGGCTCTGTGTATGTAACATGTACTGTGCCGACATACAGAGTATTTTCAAAAGTAAAAAAGGTAAACGTGATAGAAAACACTTATTAGTTACTTATTCTATACCAAGAACAGTGTACATGCATTATTTTATTGCATCCTCACAAGAACCCTGACAGAAATACTATTATCCTCATTTTATAGATGAGGAAAGTGAGGCACAGAGTAGACAACTTGCTAAAGGCCCTAGTCAGCAAGGGATGGAGTGTTCTTAACCACTCTGAAGATCTGACTCCTCAGGGTGTGAAGTGGCTTTATCATAAAATACAGAGATAACAAACACTACTAGAACCAGACTTGCTCTGTCCTATACAGTAGCCACTAGCCATATGTAGCAAAATCGAGCATTTGAAATGTGTTGAGTCTGGAATGAGATAGGCTGTTTAAGTGTAAAATAAACACTGGATTTGGAATACTTAGTATGGAACGAAGAATGTGAAATAACTCACTAAAAACTCTATTGATTGCATGTTAAATAATACTATTTTGATAGACTGATTTAAATCAAATATGTTATAAAATAAATTTCACCTTAAAACATTATGGCTAATAGAAAAGTTACACTCAAAGCTCGTGGCTGTGGCTCATACTGAATAGTACTGATCTGGAATAAAAAAATAGGGGTCAAATAGTACAGAGAAGGAAGGAAGAAGAGGAGGGCTAGAGGATAAGGATGAATTACCCCAGAAAGCAAAGAAACCCCAGTCAGACTTAAAACTTGGCTGTGAGCTTCCTGGCAGCCAAAGCAGACAGAGCAAGGTCCCGCAGCTAATGTTATCGAACCAAAGAAAGCACAGGTGCGTCAGGGAGAAGCGCTTTCCTAGCTCTGAGAAGAATGTGGTCAAGAGCTCTTCGGAGCGGTGTACTGAACACCTCCAAAGTGAGCAGGTCTGGACCTGGAGTGCAATGTGTTTCCACTCTTTTTTATATTGAGCCTTGAAAAATGTCTTTTAAGTCATGCTTCTGTAAAGATCAATTCAGAGGGCAGGGCAATGGTTTAGTAACATAATTCCTCTAAGTAGCTTCTTGACAATGTGTCAGATTCATAACCTTGGTCATGATGCTTGGAGTTAAAAAGGAAAAGGAGAAAATAAGCTGTAACTTGCAGGTGTGCATAGTACTGGGGAGGCTGCCCGAACACAGAGCTGCTGGAAGTGTCCTGCAAACTAGGCTGTAGTTACAATGAGGAGGCGACTGGGTCATAAAGAGCTATTGTCCACACACTTGTGGTTTCCTATCAATTACTGAGAAACAGAGACATCGTAGGGTGGACACTATTTTGAACTAATTTACAACCATATTAGTACCATAAAACAATGTTCTCTTTACATATGCACTGGAGAATTCTGTGAATGTGGTTCAAACTGCTCATTCTCCACCGAGAGAACTGCAGGGTAGGAAAGTAAGAACAGGAAGGAGCACCGGCCATGGTGCTGGGCACGCAGCAGGTGCCCAATCCATGTGAATGGTAACAGAAGCTGTTCCAAAAGGGGTCACGGGATACCGAAGAGCTCGCCAAGCCTCTCTGCATAAAAGAAGTCCATGAGTAGATTGAACTTGGAGAGTGGCTTAAGCTCTGAGGATCAATTTTGAGTGAGTCCTGGTTAAATTTCCCTTCAAGAATTAATGCCAGGATTAAGTCTTGATTTATGGCTTGGGCAATTCCTCAGAGCAGACATCTCTAAGACCCAGTAGGTTCTGGGTCAGTGATGGCGAACCTATGACACACGTGTCAGAGATGACACTCGAGCTAATTTTTTTGGTTGATTTTTCTTTGTTAAATGGCATTTAAATATATAACATAAATATCAAAAATATAAGTCTTTGTTTTACTATGGTTGCAAAGATCAAAAAATTTCTATATGTGACACGGCACCAGAGTTAAGTTAGGGTTTTTCAAAATGCTAACACGCCGAGCTCAAAAGGTTCGCCATCACTGTTCTAGGTAGTCTGAATAAGTTTATCCCGGACCAATCACCTCTTCTCATCTTTCTATACCTACACCAGACAGGGGAGATGATGGCAGCATCTACTATTGTGCTGCAAGCGAAAAATGTGACTAGAGAAGAGAGCATCTCGTTCTCGAGCCCTGGTGCACCTGAAGCCAGCATGAAAAGCAGGTACTCCTGCTGGCCAGGTGACCCAATAACACGTGGGAATTTCCACCTGACAATTTCAGTTCCTAGTCCCAAGCTCCCTGCTTCCCAATATAGTCTCCTCTGCTTTCACCCCCTCCCCGTGCTATGTATACTACACTATTCTTTCTTTTTTTTTAAATTGAATCTATGGGGGTAATATTGGTTAATAAAATTATATAGTTTTCAGGGATACAATTCTATATACACCACTATTATTTAATTCCAGCTTGGAATTCACTCCTATATTCATCTCACTCACAGTGCAAGTAGCTGATAGCAAAAGCCAAACACACTGAGGTTTAGGTAGGGATTTCATCCTGTGTGGCCACAATGAGTGTGTAGCCTCTGGCACTGCTAGTCTATAAATTCCACTTCACTTCTGGGGGTGGTGACAATGCCCTTTCCTGCCTGCCTTTGTGTCACCATCTGACATTATGTGCATCGTTTCTTTTTCAAAAACTTTGCTTTTAGGAAAGTACCATCTGTTTTGAGCGTATGATATAAAGCCTCCTATTCAAAGTGACCTGTGGATCAGCAGCATGGGCCTCACCTGGGGAAATGTTAAAAATGTGCATGTATGTTTGAGAAGCAGCAGAAAGCACCACTTTAACGTGAATAAATACAGAATATGCAACTTTTGGGGGAGGAATTTTCTAATGGGGGGACTCTTTTTAGGATAGAGCCTGGTCCAGGAAATGAAAGGTAGAGTGAGGTTGGGCAAGCTTACAACGTAAGTTGTTTCCAAATTCTTGCTGCCCCAAGCACTTTCCGGGAAAGGTTTTCAAATTTTGGAGTCTGAAATAATTTCTCCCTTTTTTGTTTTCAACTAAGAGGACCTTCGGGTTAATTATAAAATCTTCAAAATTAGGAAATGTAGCAACATTTCAACAGTAACTTACACACATGGTGTGAAGAATAATCAAAAGGTCAACTTACCGCTGTCTCCATTTTTTTACCATTGCACCATACATCCATAGTGTCTTTTTCTGTAAAAGTAACAAATTAAAAATTATATGATTTAAAGATAAAGTTAACTCTTTATAATTTTTAGAAAGGTTTAATACATTGGATTCCTAAAAGTCCATTAACTTCACAACTTTGAATTGGTTCTAAATTTGAAGAAACGGATTTTCTTCACAGACAAAATCAAAATGAAACAAACTTTTAAGAGAAAATCATGATCCCAATGCAAATTGATGAAGACTTGTTAAACTCAAAAGTAAATAACCAATGAACTTATATGCCTATATGCATAACCCATAGACACAGACAATAAAGTGGTGAAGGCCTGGGGGGAGGGGAGGAGAGCACTGGGGTAAAAGGGAACATATGTAATACTTTCAACAATGAAGATTTAAAAGAAAAAAAAGTTCCCATAAAAGAGCTGGACAGTTAGAGAAAATAATTAAACAGCCATTATAAAAAGCCAATCAATTCTGCAGTAACAGCAATCACTTACCCAACACAACTCTCAAGTCTTCACCATCCAAATGTAATACCCAAGTACTGGTGGTTTTTGATCTGTTCTCCATATACTTCTTAAGACTTTTCCCATTAATTTCCAGAGTATATTCATAAGCAAAACCACTGACAGCATCTATATTTATGGTTGCTTTTGTCTTTGCAGCTCCAACACAGAAGGTTTCTTTGCCCACTAATTTGAACATCCATTCTTTTCTTATCTCTTCCTAAGTAATAAAATAGAAAAGTTGAAAACACACAAATGGAAGAAAATGTAATGTTAGAAATAATATAATTAAAGTGAGCAAATGATAATGCTACATAGTTAGATGTAATATTAATTTGTGATGCAAAGGTTTTAGACTCTCAAGGCATTTTACATTTAAATATTAGATATTATAGCCTACTAGAGGCCCGGTGCATGAAATTCATGCACTGGGGTGGGGGTCCCTCAGCCTGGCCTGCGCCCTCTTGCAGTCCAGGACCCCACGAGGGATAGCCACCTGCCGGCAGTCAGACATCCCTCTCACAGTCTGGGGCTCTTGTAGTCCGGGACCCCTCAGTTTAATGTCATATAGTTTAGACCAGTGATGGCGAGCCTATGACACGCGTGTCAGAGGTGACACGCGAACTCATTTTTTTTGGTTGATTTTTCTTTGTTAAATGGCATTTAAATATATAAAATAAATATCAAAAATATAAGTCTTTGTTTTACTATGGTTGCAAATATCAAAAAATTTCTATATGTGACACGGCACACCAGAGTTGTTAGGGTTTTTCAAAATGCTGACACGCCGAGCTCAAAAGGTTCGCCATCACTGGTCTATGAATTCCTTAACTATGATTCAATAGCTTTGTACAGCAAAATGATACAGGCCAAAATATAAAGATAACCACTTTAGTAAGAGAAAAGCCTGAGTTCACATATGAAGAATCTACATTAACAAAATAAATCTCTCTGTATACCATATTTACAAAGTAACATGCTTTTTTCCTACCTTCCCATCTACATATACCACTCGTTTGCCGGATGTGGTCCCATGTTCAAATTCAATCCTATGGACTCCATCACTCAAAGCAACATCCCAAACGGCTACAAGATCTGTCATTTTTAACAGGCTATCCGGAGGGCTAAGGGAATAAAATACAGCAGTTATAATAGGCCAGAAACAGTTATAGGATAGCCAACTAATCCTTCCAAGATGAAAATAACAGATTTTTAAAACCCATAAAATTACAAAATATGAAAGTGATATTACCTAAGAAATCTCACTCACAGTACACGTAACTATCTTCTCCCTCTTATGCACTCTTCCTTTAAGATGAAAGTATTCTCATGGGTATACAGTCAGGTAATTCCAAACAAAGTCACCTTAACATTAATAGGATTAAGAATCTATGACAGTATTCTAAGCTAGGCTACAGAATAATGCTTGGAAAGGTCAGTAAGAAGTCTCTATTTCTCCCTCCCCTCATTGGAAAGCAGAGTACAGTATTTTGTTGGGGTTTTTTTTTTCCCAGATCCAATCATTCCAAAAGAAGAATTCTATAAACCTTTCATACTTAAACCAGTGACTAAGAATTAATTTTAACAAAAACACTTTTTAATTTACTAAAGTAAGACTGAGAAAAAGAGATGTCATGGAAGAAATGTCCTATAATAAAGGTTAAAATGTTACGGAAAATAGTAACTCTTGTCATTGCTATAGGAAATCTTATTTTTTTTAAAAGGAAAAAGAAAATCTTATTTAAAAAATAAAGGATTTTATTTAGTCAGGAGTTTCTGGCATAATTTAAACACACTTTAATATAAAACAAATATAAATATTTTAATATAAAACATGTTTCCTATGTACATGACATATATAATATTATATTGATAGAGGTTTTTAGCTTTGAGAGAAGTAACACGACAGCCTTAATGATCATCGCTAACAGTGAAGTGTTTCTGTGTGCCAGTCACTGTTCTAAGAGCTTTACCTGTGTTAACTCATAGAATCCTCATCATGGATGGGCACTATCATTATCCCTGTTTTAAAGGTGAGGAAACTGAGGCTCAGAGAGGCTAAGGGCTTGTCTAAGGTCACAAGGACAGTAAGTGGATGGGATTTAAACTTCGGACTCTGGCTCAAGAGGCTGTTCTCTTACCTACGACCGACCCTTCATTCCCTCTCGTCTCCTCCGTGTGCTCTAAATCAGAGCTACTGGATGGGTTTGATATCGTCTTGAAGTGATTGCCAAGAACTGTGTGCTGAGAGGGATTTGAAGATCTTACATCCAGGTCCTCTAAAGGACGCCACGCTAGTGGTGCCCACCCTCGTGCCGGGTGTTTACTACCCTCCTTCACCTCATAGAAAAGCAAAACCATGCTTTCTGCAATTGTACACAATGTGTCCTTTAACAAATAGCCTGGATAAATAACTCTTCTGAGTGACTAAAACAATCTTGAAAGTTTCAGAAGCTAGTTTGATGGCAATGCAAGATATTTACCTTTCGTCATCTTCAAAGATAGGACTCTCATCTCCAGATGCCATGGTTGGCAAAACAGTCTTTAATCCAATTAGCAGCCAGGAAAGAAAACAGAATTGCAGGCAAGAAAGATTGAGAGCAACAAAGATGACATCTGTAAAAGGGCTTTTCTAACTTGGCAATCCATTTCTTAAAATGGAATGAAGTTTCTGATGAAACAGCTTTTACATACAATAGAATTGCAATCTCTAATTTTCAGGGAAAGAAGTCAAGTCATTCAAATCGGTTCATCATATTTTTCTGTGGTATGGCTTTATAATTTCCTAAAACTAGAGAATAAACTCTAGTTTATTTCAAGGGTTATACCACATCAGAGCATCAAGAGACCTAGGGGTCCCCTGGGTCCCATGCTTCTCAAATTGAGACAGAAGAAGCCCCAAGGGTCTGAGGCAGTGGGTCAGGGAATACATAAAACTCGAGGATAAACAGAATGCATCTTTTGGAAGCATCAATGTTACAGGTGGTTACAATTTAAAATGCAATCTTCATATTCAATTTTAGAAGGCTACATTATGGTAGAATATATCATTAAAACAAATTTTTTAGATAACTTCAAAGAAACGGTGAGTTTGCAGGAAGCAGCCAAGAATATGCTAGCTGGCTTTAGAAGAGCAAACTTAATTTACCTGTCTACTCAAGCCCACTTAATTTACTAGTGCCAAAAATGAATCCACAAAAATTATGTGGTTTGCTCAGGCCACTAGCAGGGCCCAAGCCAAACCTAGAGCCCAGTGTTCCTGTGCAATTAACTAAACGATAACTGGGCTATAATACTAATTAAGTTTTACTGAGATCAGAAGCACAGATGTACTCACATACACAGGAAACCCTCCATATTTGAAGATTTGGGATTAACGGTTATACCCCTGCCATACCTACTGAAAAATGGGTTCACTAATTTTTGCTCCCAAGTTCTAGCCTAGCCTAGCCTTCTTCCTACTGATGCCAGAGGGTGCTCTCTTTCCTTGTTAAAAATGGAAGCTCAAACAACCAAAAGCCACAAATTCTTTTTTTGTTTTTGTTTTTTTAAAATATATTTTATTGATTTTTTACAGAGAGGAAGGGAGAGGGATACATCTCCTACTGGGGATGTGCCCGCAACCCAGGTACATGCCCTTGACCGGAATCGAACCCGGGACCCTTCAGTCCGCAGGCTGACGCTCTATCCACTGAGCCAAACCGGTTTCGGCACAGAAATTGTTTTTTTAAAAGATGTTAAGAGATTAGCATCCATAAAAGCAATATAACAGGCAAAGAAAAGCTAAGAATTTTAGAATGAAAACTAGGTATTTAAAACACTTTGTACCTAAAATAAATCCCTCTTTTTTTTTTATTAGCACCTTAAAATATTGTAGATTTTTCTAGTCTTAGGAAGCCCTAGGGTACCTCCTATGAAAGTGGAGGGTAGATGGAACTTATTATGCTAAGCGAAATAGGCCAGTCTGAGAAAGATAAATATCACATGATTTCACTCATATGTGGGATATAATGATCAACATAATCTGATGAACAAAAATAGATCCAGAGACAAATGGCAGGGGAGGTGTGTGTGTGTATGTGTGTGTGGGGGGGGGAGGGCGAGGGGAAGAGGGGGTTAGAGATCAACCAAAGGACTTGTATGCATGCATATTAGCATAACCAATGGACACAAACACTGGGGCAGTGGGGGCTTGCCCGGGGTGAGAATGGTTGTTGTTTTTTTTTGGGGGGGGGGTCAATTGGGGAAAAATTGAATTGATGTAAAACTTAAGACAATAAATAAAAAGAAAGTGGAGGGTATCCTACAACTATGAAAGCAAAGGGAATACATAGCAATAGAGTAAGCCAAACAGTGTAATATCAACTTGATTAGCACCTTAAAATAATGTAGATTTTTCTAGTCTTAGGAAGCCCTAGAGTACCTCCTATGAAAGTGGAGGGTAGATGGAACTGGAGAGCATTATGCTAAGCGAAATAAGAGAGAAAGCATCTTCTGCAAATCAGAGTGGACTTAGAGATATTGTTCAAATTTTGCTTTTCAATTTGTAGAGACCCTAGAAAGTTCAGTAATTCAGCATTCAAACTTGAACGAATTGCCCAGTTTTCCATTATAAGGAACTTCAAGTAATATCAGACTAAGATAATGCATGGTACCATCTTAGTTATAATAACTTTTCATGTAGGTATAAAAGACAACACAACAAATAAAAAGGGGGTTAGAAATCAGTATTAAAATTTTTTACTTTAAATTATCAACATCCATTCATATAATTATTTATGGAGTATCTGTTTAAGGTGTAAAAATGTTTTGGAAATAGTGGTGATGGTTGAACAACATTGTGAGTGTACTTAATGTTATTAAATTCTTAACACTTAAAAATAGGTAAAGTTACGAATTTTATGTAGTATATACTTTACCACAACTTAAAAAAGCAATACTGTAATATACCAAAAAAAATTGAATTGTATATTTTGAATGGATGAATTATATGGTGTATGAATTATTTATCAACAAAGTTGTTTAAAAAAAAGACCCAGGTGCCCTGCTGCTAGTGTTTCTTGAAATGTAATGCACTTAAAATCAAGAGGTGATCACAGTTGCCTTTGTCACCTTACTCATCTGAATGAAAAGTCAGTCACACACAGATCTCTAACTTACAAATTGGACTTAATAAACACGTCATATTCTGAGTGCATCCACCATGCTAATAGTTATCAGTCACTTGTGTGCCAGGCACTGAGCTGGGCACTAAGCTCAGAGTGAGGGACCCTGGAGAGATCGAAGGCGGATCACAGCACCACCATGGAGTGTCTTATACAGGGAACAGGAAAGGACAGAATGGGCCCACGGAGAGAGGACCCCAGCCCTGCCAAGTGGCGGGAAGGGTTTGGTTTAATATTCGGGAGAAAGGAATCAATCCACTGTAATTTTGAAACTCTTATCTACACATTTAATTTTCAGGATCATGTGGCCAAACAGGAAAATGATCACGACAAAGAAAAATTCCCTCTATTTTAGCACAAAACTTTTAAAATGTAAATGAAGTGAATGGAAAGACAAATTCCATGCATTTTCACTGATGAGGGCAATGTCACTCACTTGAAGCCTTTTTCAAGTCTTCAAGGAAAGATTTTTGAGTTTCTAGTGACCAGCCATCAGCAGGATCTTCTTAAAATCCCTTCCCTTCCAACCCAACACCCATGTTTCAGTGACTTAAACGTTAAAACGTTTCCACGATTCATCTAAGCCCAGCTTCAATTTTGCATTAATCTACGTTTAACCGTACTGGGGACTGTAGTGGTTTGTCCAAGCTACATCTAAATCAAAATTTAAAATTACTAAGATACTCATATTTCCTTTTCAGCAAAAGCTCTAGGTGCGGACAGCCACAAGGCACGTCACTCTTTAACAAATGGGTGTTGACAATTTGCCCCCAGTGCCTTGTGGGACCTACAACCAAGGCGACCAGGCAGTTCCTGAACCAGGTATTCCCAAACACTGGTGACGGTAGAAAAACCAGAATAACCCTTCTAAGGAGCATTCTGCCACGTGCATATACTGCAAGCCTGATGGAGGGGTCCCTGTAAACACAAACCAGGCGGAACAGTGCTAACGGCTCGCTTTTGCAACAGCTGAAAACGGAAAACCACCTGTATGTCCACCATCAGGGAGGGAGCCCATAGGGAAATCACAGTCCGTCAGTCAACAATCTGGATGGAGGTCGGGGCAGGTCAGACTCCGACCCCCGGGACCGCAGCCGAACGGGCTCCACACACAGACACGAAGGAAACCATTCGAGCCGCGGGTGCCGCCCGCGATGGAGAGAGAGAGAGAGAAGCCGAGTTACACCGCTTTCCGATGCAGGTCCTGCAAAAGCACAGTCTGACCTGGTTTATAGGGAAAAGGAGGGAACGGCTGCACGTTGACCCGGATGCTTTGCGGGCTCATGTGCTTCCTTTCTTGTCCCACTTTCCAACAGCGACAAGTTCTAACTTCAGAGCTGGGACGAGGCCGGAGGCCGGAGCGGCCGATCGCAGGG